ACAGGACAAAAGAAAGATCAAAAACATTGTGAAAATCACAAAATCATGATCTCCCCGACACAGAACATGAAAGTTACCGACCCTCACGCTTTGGCATAATGGCAAAATATTTTGATTTAGTGGGATCACTTTATATGGGCGAGGATTTTAAATCCCACAAATCCCATTATCTATTTCTCTCAATTTTGTTGTTCCAGACCCAAAAAAAAGGAGGAAAGTTACTAGAAAGAAAGTGAAACAGCAAGAACAAAAGAAAATGATGTAGGAAATTTTTTTTTTATTTTTTAGATAATTTTACTTATTATTTAAATAGTTAACTTAATTTATTTATTTTAAATTTATAATATTAAATAAATTTACTCATAAAAATTATATAAAAATATTAGATAAAAAAATTATTCTTATATTACTATTTCAAGAATGTAAAGGTAAAAAAGAAAAAGAAATAAAACAGAAATCAAGATATAAGATATCGTTCCTTTCATCATGACAACGAAGAGGAAATGGAAAACAGACATTGACCCTATATTTTTCCGAACTCGAGTTAGACTAACAACAGTCCAACCCACAAGTACTCGACACTGCCTTCTTATCCCGAAATATCCGTTCACGGGTCCCCTCTGCAACATTTACCCTCAGCTTGCCTGAAAATGATGAATGTCTTTGGACAGTACTATGCAATTATTATATGCATATGAGATGAAAGAATGAGTAGTTTTTAAGTTACCATGCATCTAATTGTATTTTGATAATATGGAAGGAAGTTAGTTTAATTTAGGTTAAAACTCCTTTTTGGTCCCTGAACTATTGTACGGACCCTCGATTTGGTCCATGAACTAAAAAAATTCTTGATTTGATCCCTACTGTTTACCATTTTTACCCCGATTTGGTCCTTCCGTTAAAAACTATGTGACGTGACCTGTTACTTAACGGTTACCAGATGACATGTCATATAGTAATATAAAAAGTGATGATGTGGAAAAAAAATAATATAAAAAAATATTATGAAAAATAAAGTTTAAATTTTTTTTTCTTTTTTCTTTTTTCTTTTCTTTTTTTCTTTTTTTCTTTTTCTTTCTCCTTTCCCTTTCCCTTTCTCTTTCTCCTTCCCCTTTCTCTTCCTCCTTCCCCTCGAAACCCAGTAGGCCTGGGTTCCTTCGAACCCACCCAAGCGCTGGGTTCGTCGAACCTAGGGCTGGGTTCGACGAACCCAGGTGATCTGGGTCTGTCGAACCCAGGTGATCTGGGTCTGTCGAACCCAGGTGATCTTGGTCCGTCAAACCCAGGCGATATGGGTTCGGCCTGGGTTCAATGGACCCAGATCGCCTGGGTTCAATGGACCCAGATCGCCTGGGTTCAACGAACCCATGCATTGGGTTCAACGAACCAAGCTAGGTTCGAAGGAACCCATCGCCTGCGTTCCTTCAAACCCAGTGCTGGGTTCGATCGAACCCAGGCACTGGGTTTCTTCTCGAACCCAGGCGCTTGGGTTTCGTTTGCACCCAGGCGTTGGGTCTCTTCTTGAATCCGGGCACTGGGTTCCTTCGAGAACCCAAGAGCTGGGTTCGTTCGAATCTAGGGGCAAAAAAATTTCTGTTTTTTTTTTTTGTGGGTTTGGTTGTTTGATTAAGATGAAGAATTGTTGGGTTCGATATTGAATTGATTGTTTGA